CCCCAAAACCCCAAAACCCCAAAATCTAGAATAGAAAATAAGAAATTGTGAAAACTATTTAGAATAAAATAAAACATCATATTATATTCTGATTTCTTTGTTTATTCACTAAATTTATCAATTTCTGTCTATGATTAAGAGGGAATTTTCTCTTATTGCTCTTAAAAGCATATCCAGTATCATCAATATCCTTTCTCATCTATCCAATAGCTTCTAGTCTTTCTTCTTCCGAAAACACTTTATTAAATCTACTATCATAAAGATCTTGTTCTTACAAATTATCATTGATCTTTGATGATATCTAATCTAATCGCATGTTAATCAACCCAATATCATTCTCTTTATCCCTTATAAATGACTTCTTTATTTAGTTTTCCTCATTCAGTACATCATCTATCTTAAACACTAAATTTCTGATTTGATTTCTTCGCTCTTTACTTAGTCTAGTGATTTTTTTGTTAATAGAGTTTTAAGCCATTGATCTTTGAGTAATACTTTATCTTGAAGAGCTTCTTAGCATAAGCTTAGGAAGTGATGCTAACGAGTTATTAATGTTAGGCTATAGATTCTAATGCGCATAGGAGCTATTCATTACTTTAATATTTTCATTACTTTGATTATTCAAAATGATATTGCAAAGTTCTATATCTTAGTTTAAAAGTTTTTACCTCTAATTCTAATTATTATAACTAAGGTTCTATTCTTTATTTAGACTTTTAATTGAAGTACGAAAAGGGTTTTAGAAATTTTGGCTTTAGTGGATTTTTTTATTAATATTTTCCTTACCAACTGGTGTTTCTGATCTCTTTACTTAGCTGATATTAAATCTTGAAACTGATTTATCTGCCTTTTAACTTAATTGGAGTATTTTTTAGGAGATATTTGAAATGCTCTTACTTGATTTTAGTTGATAACTTTGGTATTAGCTATTACTCTTTTAATTGAAAGGTCTAGGTATTATATGCTTGTTCAATGCTAAATTTTAATTATTTAATTGTTATTGCTATCCAAAAGAACTCACACTCTCTAACTCAACTCTAGAATTAGACCCCGTATAATCCAAGTTTCTTCTATTTTAATTTGAATGATATCTTTGCACGCTTAAATAGTCGGAACCACATTCTTCTTTAGTTAAGTCTTTTCTAGAGTATTTACGCTTAAATCTAGATTCATTTTTCTACTAACTTTGAATCAAAGCTGCATTAGGCTTTAAACATAGTCCATTCTCCTGTGTTCTCAGAACCTAATCAGTTTTTAATCCTAGATGTTAGATGGCTTTTTGTTATAAAAGTTCAAGCACCCTTTTCTTTTTTTCTTAAGACTTATTTCTTGGGGGTAAAAGATGCTGTCTAATGACTTTTACTCTAGCTTTGGTATTTAAAATTTGTTCTTATGAGGGTCGAGAGGAGCTAATATGAGTGTGCATTAGCTGATCTGTTTTCGATAATCCTACCCAACTCTGATAGTAATTATCATTCGACAATTTAGAATCATAATTTCTTGAGCTAAGTTCTGCTGTTTAGTCTTACGTAGAAGGTACAAGATGAGATTAAGAGTACTGCTCCTTGATTAAAATTGAATTAATATCGCTTGAATCGAAATCATCATTATTATTACTGTTTAACATTTTAAAAATATTTCTGAATTCTGAATATTTTAACTGATTTAATAATTTTACTTGTATACTATTTTGAGTATTATTTCAGTGTAAAGGGGTTTTGGGGTTTTGGGGTTTTGGGGTTTTGGGG